GACACACCTACTTCCTGTCATCATCACCTACGTGGGCGGGGTCTACCTGTACTTGACTCTGATTGGTTTGTAGACGGAGTCTGATGTGGGCGTGTGGGGGGGGGGGGGGGGGGGTAGTCTTTCTGTTTGAATGGAGAACATGAATGAAGAGCTTTGGTTTCCATGGTAACATCATGATGTTATCACTAGCAGCATCAGCACCTTCAGGTGCAGTACTCCACAGTACTCCTGAGTACTACACAGTACTCCACAGTACTCCAGTACTCCACAGTACTCCTGAGTACTACACAGTACTCCACAGTACTCCTGAGTACTACACAGTACTCCAGTACTCCACAGTACTACAGTACTACACAGTACTACACAGTACTCCAGTACTCCACAGTACTCCAGTACTCCTGAGTACAACACAGTACTCCAGTACTACACAGTACTACACAGTACTCCACAGTACTACACAGTACTCCAGTACTACACAGTACTCCACACCTCTTGGTTTAAACATTTTATCGTCGGAGGTGAAGACTGCAGCTGCTTCTTCTTCTTCTTCTTCTTCTTCTTCTTCTTCTTCTATGGTTTAATGTGTCTCTACTTCCTGTGATTGGTCCAAAAGTCCAAACTGTCCAACAAAGTGTTTTCACTGTGAACCAACAGAACCAGGTTCAGTTTGATCCAGACCCAGAACTCCTCCTCTGGTCTGAGGAACGTTCACAGCTGATGGTTGATATTTATGATCAGACATGAGTTAGTTTGTGAAATGTGTTCACGTGGATCATCTGAGGTTATTATTGGATGAGGGGAGAGGTGGTTTTCACAGCAGATGTTTTACTGCAGCCTCAGTTCCATGTGTCTGTCTTTACATCCCTGCCCCTCCCCCTCTGTTGCCATGGAGGATGCAGTTGCCATGGTTACCAGCCTCTGGTTGGAAACATCGTTTCTTCAGGAATGTGCCACGTTAACAAAGACTGGGAGAGAAAGATAGAGAGAGGTGAAACATGATGAAGATCGTTTTTTAAATTTCAAGTGGAGGTTGTTTACCCTGCAGGTGACAGGTGATGAGGTCAGAGGTCAGTCTGTAGACGTGTGGTTGTGGTTTCTCTCCCTCTCTCTCCTTTTTTTCTATCTTTTCTTTATTTCTCTCCAGCTGAAAAATGTGCAGTCGTGTCCCCCCTGCAGTGTTCAGCCTGAGCTCACGTCTCTTTGTCTCCGACTCCGTCTCATTGGTTGTGATGAATCACATGATAGATTCCACAGGAGTCCACATGAACCCACATCAGACCATATGTTTCCCCTGCTCATATGAAACTACACATTTTCTTGATTTAGTCCATTTGGACCAAAGTTCAGTCCACAGTGGTCCACATTTAGTCAGAATTTGGAGACAGTGGACAAATAACCTGTCCACTGAACTTTAACTTATTCAGTGACTGCAAATGGTTTAAACATAATTATTCACATGTGACTTGTTGTAGCCCGTTTCTCCCCACGTCTACAGGGGAGCAGTCGCTTGGTTGTTTTACCTGAGAGACAGAGAGAGGACAACGTGGAACCATGAGAACGAAAAGACGTCTCTGTCTCTGTTTGTTCTACAAAGCTCCTGAAATATTGGCGTCACGTAAATCTCAACAAAACACAAGGGCTTTTTCACCTCCTCCCTCGCTCCTCTGTCAATGGGAGCTTCTCCCTCTTCAGCACCATCCCTGCTCACTGTAACCATGGGAAACCACTAAGGTGTTGCCTAGCAACTGCAGCAGCAGTCTGTCTGCAGCAGCTGTTTGAGCGTTTCTGATTTCTGAGCTGGTGGCAGCCATTTTATCCCCACCATCACCTAGGCTCACACACACACACACACACACACACACACACACACACACACACAGACAATCTCAGGCGGCAGGAAAGCCCATTAGTGTCGGCCGTCTGGTGTGTACTGAGTTTCTGTACAGTCTGCTGCCTCAGGAGTCAAACAGAGGACACCACAGCGTGTGTGTGTGTGTGTGTGGACACTAACACACAAGTATATCTATAGTTTTCTGTAGTTTTGAAGAGAACAGAGCTGGGCGACCCTGTGTGGCAGATTGTCTGTCTTATTGTATCGTTTCTCTTCTGTGTTTGATTGTTTCACCTGACTCATCATTTAGTCTTGTTTTCTAATATCTTCATTCTTCACATCTTTTTCTTTAGAAAACATTATTCAATGATACAGTGGCCACACACAACCATAACACAGAGACATGTTTCCTTATTTTTGTCAATTTACCATAATTACTCTGTCACATCACAAGAATAATGTATATGAGAAGAATAAAACTTTTAAAAAACCTAAATGGAATGTGTATATATAATATAACTGCACCGGACTGAAATTGCATGACATGATGTGTATGAAGTGTAACACAAAGTAGTTTAACAAATCTTCTCAAATACATGAAACAGATTTTAAAGCTGCAGCTAAACTTACATACTTTCTTTAGTCAGCCACACAGATTATTTCCCTCTTTCTTTCAGAATAAGACTGCTCAGTTTTAAGGGAAATAACAAAATAAAAGCCCTGAAACATATCAACACCACCAACTTGTCATATGTTTGGGTTGAAACCATACATTTCTGTTAACTCTGCCGAGGTCTTTTTGTTATCATTATTCAGGGGAGAGTTCTATCGCCAAGCCGCTCCCAGCCTAACCTCAGCAACGCACCTACGTAAAGAAACTCGCTCACAGTCTCCAGCCAATCACAGTCGAGTGGCAGCGAGAGAAGCCAACGAGGTGCTGAGGGAGATGGGACGCCTGAAAACCGAGATAAAGATGCTGCTGACGGTGAGAAGACAAAATGAACGAGGCTTGAACAAAGTTGAGTAACAGAACACAACTTTTCTAGAGCTCCAGAATTCACTCCAGAGTACATGAGGATGATGTCACAGAGTTTTTGTTGACTTGGGAGACTCGGCTCAAGGTCTCAGAGACTCAGACTTTGTGTTTGTTGATCCGAATGAATTTGTGTCCTCCAGCAGCCACAAGACTCTCTGAAAACTACCAGGCCTCCACCAGACCAACACGAGTCTCAGCAAAACCAGGACCAGCAGTCCCAGTCCCAACAAAACCAGGACCAGCAGTCCCAGTCCCAACAAAACCAGGACCAGCAGTCCCAGTCCCAACAACCCCACTCTGATCAAACGAAGTTTCAACGAAACCACTTCCAGTCCCAACAATCCTGGTTCCAACAAAACCAGTCTCAGTCCAGAAAAGTCCCGTCCCATCAAATCCAGCTCCAACAAAATCAGAGCCAGTTCCAGTCCCAGTCTGTGCTGGGCCACAGAGGGCCTGTAGTACCGTCCATGTTGGAGAAGGCAGGTGGGGTTCTCCGTCAGGTTCGGAGACAGAGGAAAGTTCTGGAAGAGAACCTGGAGGCTCTGCTGAGAGCCAGGAACGGAGAGGTCCTTCACTGCCAACTGGAGGCACTGGCTGCCAACAGGTAGCTAATACAGAAGTTATGTCTGCTAACACAGAGGCCTAGATAATGTGCAGTGATGCTAATGGTATCTACAAGCTAACATATAGTTTATCAGTAGCTAACTGGTTCTGTGTTTAGTCAACCATCAACAGCACCAACATTTATCTGCTAACAAACCAGGAACATGTTTGATGTGATACTATGCTAACAGGTAGCTAGCATTAACTTATTGTTCACTTATTGATAGCTTTTGTAAACTTAAGTATGATAAGTGCTAACAGTTTGCTCATTCGTGCTAATAGATAATAGCTAATGTTAACATACCCTTTTCAAACTTGTTCATCAGTAAAACTTTATTCCTACGAACCCAGTAAATTATTTTAACAGTTTTTTTTACTTTAAATGTGTTAAAAAGTAAAAGTTTCTGTCACAGAAAATGAAATGTGCTGTTCTGCTGTCGTCTGTCCTCTGCAGAGACTGGACTCAGGAGGTCCGGATCAAGAGGACGGTGGACGCCTGGATCAGTACTTTGTCCAAAGACGTCCAGGTGAGCTCTCATTGTTCACACAGCTCCTGTTTTCCAGGACCATGAAGGCCTGACAGTGATACAAGTGGTAAAAGTGTGTTTTAACAACAGAGAGTGAGTTTGATGAAGACGAAGATGACGGCATGTGGGATCACGTTTTCAGGATTTTAGTTGACATGTCTGAAATAGACACAAAACCACCTAACGATCTTCTTCTGCTGCTCCTCCTCCTCAGGCTGAGACGTCCTCAGAGAAGGCTGCCAGGAGCTCCGCCCCCTCAGGTAGGGGTAGGCCAATGAGTGTGGTCAGACAGACAGGAAGCAAGATCGCGGGGCGGAGAGGAGGTCAAGGACAGAGAGCTGGACACAGAACGGTCAGAGTGACGGGTGATTGATTGATTTGATCAGTAACACACAGGTGATCAGTTGTTTCATTGATGATGTCTGTATGCAGGTGCAGGGGGCGGAGCCTGTCCCAGGTGTGCTGATAGACAGAGACCAGGTGGAGGGAGAGTCGTACCTGACGCGTCTGTACGGCAGAGCTCCGCACGAAGGTCTGAGACGAACCCTGAAGAAGAGTCCATACCTTCGCTTCAGCTCACCTGGGTCACCACTCCTCAGGAAGCCCCGCCCCCGCCTGGTGGAGAGCGTCATAGGTTATTTTTTATTTCAACTTTTATATCTGAAACAAAAAATATAACAACAACTCTGCGTGAGTTCGCTTGTCGTGTTTACCAAAGGTCGCTGATATGTGCAGGTACACATCGGAACATAACATGTAGTACAGTAGCAGTGACAGACCATTAACCAACCATCCCTATGTTCTACATCAGTAAAGACCTGTCACTTTTTTTTTTCCAGGTGTGAGGGTAAAGTCTTGTAAGACTCAGACCAGTTTGACTCCTCCCCTCAGTCCATCACCCGAACGACCAGCTCATCACCTCATCTTCAGCTCCTCCCACACATTAGGTGACCCGGCTGACCTTACGGTGACCCCTGATGACACTGTTGCCATGGCGATCCCTCTGGGTCAGTTAACAGGTTCTTATAAACAATCTGAGGACATAATGTTTAAATATGAAGGGCTGCATTACCCAGAAATCAGTGGGTCATCTTAGTCATCTGAGACTCATTTAGAAATAAATGGGAACAATAAATACTTCAAGTAACAAAGTATTTATGAATATATTTAAGTGGCAAAAGGGAAACAAATGAATTAATTTAACAAAAAAACAACAAATACAATTAAACCAAAATATTAAAAACATTATTACAAAAATCAACAAGACATTTAAAAAAGGAAAGAAATTAAATCTCCACGAACAGTTTCTTAAAGTCACTCATAAATATCCGTCCTCTCAATATGTTTTTCATGTTTAATCTCAAAAAGTTTAAAAGAAATAAAATTCCTGAATCCAGATCTGACCATAAAACCTGGTTCAACACACTTAGCGGAAATCTGTCCAGATGTTATTGTGTAATCCTGCTGACACACAAAACATAACCTCATTGGTTGAGGTAATGGTTCACCCCGTCCACCCCCAGGTCGTCGCAGGGTGGACTCTTCCTCCAGGTGTGTCACTCAACATCATCAGGAAATGACATCACCACCCACACCTCCCCCCACAGTCACTGTGGCTGCAGTGGTCGGAGCACCTGAGCGACAATCACAGGTGAGCTGTACGTGACTGTCCCTCCCACATGATGAGGTCAGAGGTCACTGACAGGTGGTGTTGTGTTAACAGAGGGAGGAGCAGCTGAATGCTGGAGAAGCTCCGCCTCTCCCTCCATCGCACGCTGTCATCGAGACAAAGAGCGAGGAAGAGGAGGATGAGGAGAACACCTTCCCTGGTGCTGACTTCCTGTCTGTGGCTGATGTCCTCCAGGTAAGTTCCATCTGCCTCCTCTGAGTTAGCTGCAGTCCCACAGCTCCCCCTGCTGGTCACAAACTAAACTTCCCTGAACTTGATCCATAATGATCCCATCAGATCCTTTAGTTGATCCTTCACAGCTACTCTACCGATCCATCCCACCATGATGTCATCAGATATCTTGTTTCAACATATTCAGTTTGCTTTCACATCAAATGAGCAGAATGTTCGATTGATAAATGACTCATCAATATTTGATTAAATCTGATCAGATTTAAGTGAAAGTATTCGTCACTTGTTAATTTTATTTATTAATTATATAATCTGAGACCATGAACAACAAACCTGTCCCAGGTTTCCTCTGCTCTCTCCCAGGAGGAGGAGGAGAGTGTGGTGGGTGAGGAGGCTGTGGAGCTGGAAGGGGGTCCGTCTCCTGCCCCGCTCATGTACCAAGGTCCAGCTTTCCCTCCTGAGGCCTGCTCTGCCCTCCCTGCCCAGGGTCAGGCCTCCACCCTGGACACCGACCAGCACGGAGACGCCCTAGAGGAGCGGCTAGTGGAATGGTGAGAGTGCGTTCTGAACTGGTCTGATGTGAACTGCACTGGATCCTGGTGGTTCTGGCAGCATGTTGTGGTTCTGTGTGTTTCTGCTCTGTCAGGGTGGAGCAGCAGCTGATGTCCAGGATGATCTCAGAGATGTACCGCCCCCCTCCCTCTGACCCCACCCACAACCTTTCCACTGACCTTTTAGAGCTTGAGGAGCAGAGCGTCACCTCGGACATTGGTGAGTGCACAGACAGATGGACCAATCAGAGCCGCTGTCTGCTGACCGGTAATATCACATTGACATAGTGTGTGTGTGTGTGTGAATTAAACACACATCTTTTCTCTGCGGCTTCTCTTCTTCTTCTGCAGCTCTAACAGCACTTTGATGAAACACGTCACAAACACAACCGGATCAATTCATTTATTTCAACAACACTATACAGCCTCAGTCCCGCCTGACTTTTATGTTTCCTGATTTTCTCGTCTTAGTGATGTTTGTCATTGTTGTGTGTTCAGTGGAGGCGGCCGGAGGTGGAGGTCTTCAGCTCTTTGTCGACTCCAACGTGTCGGTGGACTCGGCTCTGATCAGGCAGCTGGTTAAAGAGGTCCTGACAGAGACTGTGGCGTTGATGCTGGGAGAGAGGAATGCACTGGACACGGGATCAGAACCAGGACTGGAACCAGCGACACCAGGACCAGCAGCACATCAGGAGGTACAGAACTGGGCATGCAGAGAAACTGCTCCGTCTGGGTTCTAATGCTAAACTGGATCCTTCTGTTCTAGGACACACACCAGGTTCCTCTGGTTCCCACACCAGTGCCGACCCCTCCACCCAGCCCGACCATTACCATCAACCAGACCACGCCCCCAACCACGCCCCCCCTATCTGAGCCAACCAGCCTGCTGATTGAGGAGTGTCCTCAGCCAATCACAGCTGCTGGTAGAAACAACAGCATTAGCATCATTAGCAGTATTATTTAGTTGTTGCCGTTTCAGCAGTATTAGCATGACTAGTTGTAGTATTGGCTTTAATGAGGGTAGTTGTAAGTAGTATTATGATATGTTGTATTAGATAGTATATACAAAATTAGCATTAGAAGTAACAATTGTAGTAGCATCATTGGCAGTGGTACAAATGTTTGCATTGTTAGTAGGAGTATTAGCAGAGTGCAGCAGTAACATCATTGTTAGCATTGTTAGCATTAGCAGTTTATTGACTGATGATGTTTCTCTCTACCTCAGAGCTCATGGTTACACCCACACCTACTCCAGACCCCGCCCCATCAACAGACCCGCCCCCTCTGACCTGGGGAGATGCCGAGCTGCCATTGGACGAGGAGCGACCGGAGGAGCACCTGGATACAAAAGAACACGCGCTGTTGGTTTAATGTCTTATTACCATCAGTCTGTTTTAAGTGGAGCAGCTAATCTAAGTTTTTACACCTGATCAATACAATAATCGGATATTTCAGATAAGTGAAATATTTAGAAATTCATTACTGATTTCGTGTTAATATTACACATGTGATGATATCAATTAAATAAGTAATAGGTTTGTGGTTCTCACTGCGACGTAATGAATGTGACGTATTGTTTCACAAACTGTGAAGAAAAGTTGTTGAAGCTGACGGTGGACTCCTCCCTCAGGGTGATGACAGTAGCAGAGGAGGATCCTCCTCTCTTCTCCCCCTCTGTGTCCTCGCCATCTCCCCGTGGTCCTGATGCTGACCCTGGACCAGCGTCTCTCTCCAGCTCTGTGAGCAGCAGCTCTGCAGCATTGAAATACATCTCAGAGGGAGAAGTGCTCATCGATGTCCAGCAGCTAACTGCTACGACAGGTATCATCATACTCCATCTTCTCTCTGATCACAAGTGAACCAAGAAACATTCTCATGTGACTAATGTCAAATGTGAAACTGGAAATTTAAAGCTTTATCCACAGTCCACACTAGTAGGAGATTTTTAGCTCCGTCCTCTCTAACACACCTGAAAACACCATTCACATACACATGTGGTGTAAACAGGAAGTAGATTGTCTACTCTGTAGTTTATTGCACATTTATAGAAAATACTACAAATGAGGAACAGTAAGCGACGACGAGGTGGAACTGTTACTGAAAGGAAGTGTTAGCGACGCTTTGTATTCACTGCTGGTAGTCGAGTCATGTGACTGATGAGAACCAATCGTTCGTCCAGATTAAAACACAACTCCAGAGTTTTCAAACTAAAACAAGACCAGTTTACACACTTCAGGTGTAACCATAGCGACAGGGATGAGATTGAAACTGAAACGACGGAGCCTGTACGTAGAAAGTGTTTGATACTGTGATGTAAGTGTCTCTCTGTCTGTCTCTCAGAGGACGGGGGGGCCGTCTGCAGTTTGTCCAGCTCTCTACAGGAGCTACATGACATGGTGACAAAAAAACACTGAACATGTTTCACTCTGTTGATACACCAGGTTTGTTTGTCTGACACTGACTGTCTGTCCTCCAGGACTATGACCCCCCCAGTGAAGGCCAGGTCAGAGGTCATGGCCTCCTGCTGACTCTGCTGACCAAGATGGAGCAGGGAGTCACACCCCAAGGAGAGAGACCACAACCTGAGGTACACACCTACACACCTACACACACACACACACACACACACGCACACACAGTTACCTCTGACCCGCTGTGTGTCCTCAGGGCTCCTGGGGGAGGCAGGACCCAGGTCAGGAGGAGGAGGTGAGCATGGGAGAGGTGAGAGAGAATCGCACTACAGAACCTCACAGGACCACAAATCCCACGGACTACAGTCAGAGTATGGCAGCCCGGCGGGGTCAGAGCTCTTCACCTGGACAGATCAGTCAGTGTTCAGGTACGAGCTGAAGACACTGAACCTGTGATGAGTCAGAACCATCACATCTCACCAGCTCTCACTTTATATCAGATTCTTTTATACAAGTTTGTTTTCTATGAGTTTATCTGATTTGTCTGTTAAACACAAAGAGCTAATGAAGGGAGCTGCTGCTGAAAGTGATCAGTATATGAAGACCATCCGTGACTGTAGGGGGCGCTGTGACACCGTATTTCTACTGACTGGTTGTATCCACATCTCACTGACACTGAGCTGAAGCTCTGACCTTTGACCCCTAAAGTCCTGATGAGCAGAAAACTTAGAAAGATAGAAAAACAAATCATCAGTTGTTCCTGAACTCACACACACACACACTCTCTCACACACACACACACACACACACACACACACACACACA